TAGTGTATGTTTCCATTTAATGTTTTAGTAAACTTTGTTGAAGGTATATTTGCACTTTTGTTTATATGACTTACGCTCTATTCGCCTCTTCCTTGGCGCCAACTCCGTCTTCTAGTACACATTTTCTTATGTTTTTTGCTGTCTAATGAAACTGCATAGTTAGTTCTTTGTGATAAGCTTATATTAGAGTTACTTGAGAAGCGTGATAATACAAAAATTATCAAAGATAAAGCAGCATTAACCTTGGAGGCCGCATTGTTGTACTCTGAGCAAGGTAATATTACATGCATGATGATTTTAGGTGATCATGAGTTAGCGCTAGCTCAATATAGCATACTTCTTGATATCTGGAAAGAAAAAAAAGAACCATTGCAGGTGGCTCTCTCTCACCGTTATCTTGCTGAGTGCTACCTGGAATTGAATTCATTTAATGAAGCGATAAGCCATACAGGAATTTACCTGAATATATCAAAACAACTAAAGGATAAAATAGAAGAACAACGAGCATACGTCACGCTGGGCCGCTGCTTTCTGACAAGAGCTAGCCAACTGAAAGATGGTTCTCAAGTTAATCTGAGTTTGAAAGCTTCTAAACAAGCCTTTCTGAATAGCCTAAAGGCATGCGAAAGTATAGATACATTAGATCAATCTAGTATGCACGAGATGAAAGCTGTATCACTTCTTAATTTGGGTATTTGCTTTGTCGCTTATGTTGGATAGGTCATGTAATGAGGGAGCAGCTCAATCACAAGCAAGCCGAAGAGCACTTTAAACAATGCATAATAATATCTAAAAAGTACTCACTTCCTAAGATTATCTTGCGATCTGCCTACCAACTTGGCGAGATGACCACCTGTTCATTTGTTACAATGTCACATCCGAATGAGGTCATCAGTAATCTAGAGGAGCTTTCATTATGTCAAAGCGCTTCGCTTATCAAGTAGTTTTTTGCTTTGTTATTATTTATTAAGAGATACATTAAAATGCTTGCCCCTTAAGAATAATTTTGATAGTGAAGCCAAACAGTTGCTTCGAGGCCTTAAGGAGTTGCTCGCACAGGTGAGTTATTTGCAATTATATGTATGCCC